GCACCGAATTCCTCCGATGATGAGTCGAAAAGGTGAAACCCTAGTCTGAAATGAGTGGCAGTATTCTTGCCGAAGGCTATCCTTGTCTGAGGGCGCGTGTGTTGCTTTGCCGAAGGCTTGCTTCTGATATCCTGGGAGATGCCGAAGGAGGAGCCCTTAATTCATGAGAATGAGGGCACGATGAATGTAGGTGATATTTCCTGTGTTGTCGAGGGGTCCCTTGTTTGTTGACAAGTGGGGGGCTGTGGTGTCCCGAGGGGCTTCCTTGTTACGTAGCCGGGGGCAACCGTTGATGAAGGTGTGCTCCCCGGGGGCTACGTGTCCTCAATGTGTTTGAGGGCTGAGTGTTCCCGAGAGGTGTGCCCATTGTGAAGCTCTGGGCTTCTGAAGGAGTGAGACCGAAGGCACTTGTGATGTATTATGAGGGGCATTGGCCGGGAGCACCTCTGGGTAAGTGTACCCGGGGGCTCCTCTCTATGAAGTGGAGTGAAGGAGACAGCCCGGGTTCCCAGAATATAACCGTTGTATAGAGCCATTGGAAGATGTAACGTCGGAAATATAGCCGTTGGAGGGGGGCCTCCACGTGGCGTGCGTTCGTTGGCTGCCTGTGGGTGGGCGTCACCGATTGGGCAACTCGACGGTTTGTAATGATGGTTTTGTAACCGGAGGCCCGGTTTCCGGCCCAAGCCCATATTTGCGGTGCCTATAAATACCCAAGGCCAAGGACCGCTCTTCTTGTGTGATCATTGTTGTTAGTGAAGCTCTGCCGAATTTTCTAGAGAGAGAAGCTCCAGCCTTCGGTCAAAACCAGTTCTCAGAGGTCAGTTCTCGCTCCGTTCTTGGCAATTCTTGCATACTTCGCTTCCCGGCCTTAGATTAAGTTTTTGTAGCTTAGAGCCTTTAGAATCTCCCTCCGACCCTCGGTTTAGTATCAAAAATGTCTTCACAAAGTGATTCCCAAGACATCTCAAGGGAGCCCTCGATTGATGATGAAGTGGTTTCCGATGTGGAATCCATTAGCGAGCCTTCGACTGGTGACGATGCTGTTGTGGCTGTGGAGATGCAGAGGGCCCTCGTTACCGAAGCTGAAGCCGAGGACTTTGAGCAGGTGATGGAGGACGAAGAGCTCGCCCTCGCTGTGCAGACTGCAGAGGAGGAGGAGAGAATGAGGGTGACTGTCGCTATTCTTCCCCCTCGCGATGCCGGTGAAGCCAGCACCTCTCGGCCATTGAACCTGGCACCTCTCCGGGTGGCCCCCGGGAAGAAGAAGAAAACGAAGGCTGCCGTTCCCAAGAAGAAGGGTGGCGTTGCTGACCAGGGAAGGCCCATCGATCTGCCCGAGGGCTATTCCTTCTTAAATACCGCCGCCCTCGAGATCAAGTCGAAGGCTGACATGGCGGAGTGTTATGTCACACAACTGCATGTGGGCCCCTCGGGTACTGTAATAATGCCGGGACCAGATGACCTCCTCTCCCAGGCTCCCGAAGGGTGTATAGCGGTGCATATCCTCTCGGTCGCCATGGGCCTTCAGTTCCCACTGCATCCAATCCTTAGGGAATATCTTAGGTACGTTGGCCTGGTCCCCTGTCAACTGACACTAAACAGCCACTCGTACATAGCCGGATTTCTCCATCTCTGCAAGTCCCGGGGGGTGACACCCAGCTTGGAGTTATTCTTTCAAAGGTTCAACTTATGCCGGGGGGGGGGGGATGCAAACGCCGAGGGGTTTGCGAATCTACAATAGGTATCCCAGTTCAAGCTGTTCACAGAGGCGCCCTCTTCCAACAAAGGGTGGAAAGACAGATGGTGTTATGTGAAGTTGGACGAGTGCCCGTTCCCGAGGGAGTTGCGGGACCGCTTCCGTCGGCATCCAAAGATCAGGAGTGCTGCCCTCGAGAAAGACGGTCTGATCCTGTCAAAAATCCCGGAGGGCCGGAACAAAAATATAGCCATCAAAGAGTGCACCTTAGAGAAGGATTTGCATGCCCTCGGGTTCCGGCAATATCGTTTCTCGGGGAGACCGACGAGAAGTACCCTGAGTTGGACAGAGCCTTCGAGGGAGCTGGAGGTTGGTGCCGAGGGCGCTGAGTTTTTGCACTCAGGATTTTTTCTTTCTTTCTTTTGATTGTCTGTTCACGCTTTCTACCCCTCGGTCTAACTGTTTTTTGTTGTTTGCAGGCGCGAATATGGACGCAGGGAAACTCTTCGCCTTGAAGAAGAAAAAGGGCAAGGCCCAGGCTCAGAAGAAGGACCCTTCGGTCCAGCAGCCCGTTGAGGCCTTCTTTCAGAAGGAGATACCGGAGCCCTCCGTTGTGGCTACCGTTGCTGATGTGGCCGAGGGGGCCACGAAAAAGAAGAAAGGCAGCAAGGGGGTAGAGCCCCCTGCCAAGAAGCAGAGAGGTCCCGGGAATGTTGCTGATCAGGCGGCCCCCTTAGTGATCATAGAGGAACGCTCCTCTCCCGAGCCCCCGGTTGTCATCGCGGCGACAGCCCAGACGGACCTTCCCCCGGGAGGCTTCCCCCGGGAGATTCTGCAACTCTCCCTGGCTCCGGGAGCTTCCGTGATGCACGGCTCGGCCGAACCGAAGGCTTTCCTGAGGGGGATCACTTCGGTGATGGATAAGGTGGCTCTCTCGACCTACGACGACGAGGCCCTCGAGAGCAAGATCTTCCGATCTTCTCTACTGTAAGTTTTTTCCCTTGTTCTTGTTTTAACATTTAATACATTTCCAACATTCGTCTAACTCTTCTGTTCATTGTTTAACAGGATTGCATAGCCCTCGGGGAGCATGCGCAAAGGCTCGAGCAGTGGCGCCTCCATAAGGCGGAGCAGGATCAGAAGATGAAGGAGCTCAGCTGATGTTTTCACTTAGGATGTTTTTACTTGGACTTTTTTCAGTCCCAGAGTAGACAGTGGCCGAAGGCATTGTGTGGTAGAAGACATCATGTGGCCGAAGGCATTGTGTGACCGAAGACATCATGTTGCCGAAGGCATCGGGTGGTCGAAGGCTAACATTTTAGCCAAGATTTTCCAGAAGCTTTACAAAGGTTGGTGCTATTTATAGACAAAATACAAAGGTTGGGCATCAAGTCGAAAGTGCTAGCTAATAAGGACATGACAAGTGTCCCTTAAAAATTGGACAATGGTGTAAGCAGTGACATCAAACCTGAATGCACGCTAGCATTGGTGCAGAACCCTGCCGACAATGATGCCGACAAAGACGACAACTTGAAGGTGGAGCCGGCGGCCTAGGGTGATGGGTGATGCAATGATGTTCGATGGATGCTTCTCTGGAAGCGAAGATGGAGAGTTCGTTATGGGTGGGGGGGGGGGGGGGGGGGGAGATGGGAAGGTGTTAGATGGATGCTTCACTGGATACTCCGTATGTTTTAAATATGTCACTTTTTGGAAATTGTAAAAGTTGTCATGTTTTTTGAAATGAAAGTTGTATTAGTGATATAAGGGCCATTTTTAAGAGGAAATGGAAACTAATAATCCAATCTTTTAACGGTTTTCTTACAATAATCTCATATAATAGTAATTTAGGAATAATCCAACCTTTGCACCTCATCTTCATTCGTTTGTCTCTGACCTATTGATGACTTGTTATTCAATGTTATTTTCCTTTCTTTGCAAAACATTAAACCATAAATCTCATCTTTCACAAATCTTTTCACAGCGGTCCCATGCATCAATTTTATTTTTTTCCCTAAAAATTTCCCCTTTTTATTTTTATCGTTTTGACTCTTTAATTCCCATTTGTGGTCTTCTTTTTCTTATTTTTATTTATTTTCATTTTTTTATTTTTTTCAATGTTTATGTTTTTATTTTTTCCTTCTTTTTCTTCTTCTCGTTTATTATTTCATTTTGATTTTTATACTCCCTCCGTCCCAAAATGAACTTCATAGTCACAACTCACATAGTCAACATAAATTATTCTTAATCTTATGTTTTATATATCAACTTTTTATCAAATTTATATTGTTTTTATCAGCCTTTGTAGCGGTTTTAATGTAGTTTGTTAATATGTAAATTTTAATTACTAAAAGTAATCTGAGTATGAACAGAGATCAAGTTGATTTATCGTCGGTCAAACATCGTAATCCGAAATGGGAAGTTCATTTTGGGACGGAGGTAGTATATTTTTCGGATTATTTTCCTTCTAATAGAATATTTTTTCTCACCATACTAACTTTTGACTTTACTTTATTTTCACTTAGGATGTTTTTACTTGGATTGTTTTCAGTCCCAGAGTAGACAAAACCATACCAGACCAGATCAGAATTGGATAGTTATAACATACACAGATATCAAACATTTACCAAACCAAACGAGTCCAACAAATTTCAGTCCAAGTAAAAACATCCTTACACTTATTTATTTACTTTTTCCTTTTCTTTCCTTGATTCCACCACTAATATATTTTTCAGAAAATAGCTTCAAAATAAGACTAAATTAATCTCTAAATGCACAAATAGGACTATGTTATTTATCTTCCCAAAATAGGACTAAACTCAGTAAAGTACACTCTTTCTTCTTATTCTACATGTGTACCTTTACCATAACGGAAGATCATATTTTACATTATAATAAAAAATAAAAATAATAAAAAGTATTTCAATTTATACAAATATAGTAGAAATTATAAAAAAGTTAAAATAATTTTTTAAGAATAAGAAAAAATAAATAAAATTAAAAGTGATTTAAAAAAATTAAAACTAAAATAGGACTGTCAATTTTTTATTCTCAAAACAGGAGTAATTACTGCCAAATATGGAAAATATTGTCATGTTTAAAGTCTTTAACTGCCAAAACATGACATTAATTAATCATATTTTGGGAATAAAATCATGATAGTAGAATATATTACGGACGTTTATAATCTTATTTTGGGTAATTTCTTTTTTAATATTAGTGGTAATTCCTTTTCATTTTTATCTGACACCACGCCTGAATCACCTCAGATCAATTCACAGTTATAAATACAGCAACAATAAGAACACCTATCCACACGAGATCAAATCACTCTGCTTACCAGTAGCCTAGGGCTTAATGAGGTTGGAATTGGGCTTCGGATCCAGGTGTATCCCTATCACCTGTCCCCTTGTTTCCTTTGTATTTCAATGCGTGATCGCTTAGTGTGTTCTTGATACTTGTTCCACAAGTTCGTTGCTTGATCATTTACCAGAGGAAACAATGAATCAATTCGAAAAATCTGAGAATGAGTTGCCGGATTTCTTTTCGATGTTGCCTGAACCACTTACTCATCACATTTTGTCCTTCCTTCCGTTCACGGATATCGTCCGTACTTCAGTCTTGTCTAAGATGTGGAGTCGCATTTGGTTCAATTACCCTAACATCGATTTGTTTTTGCATGAGCAGAGTTACATAGATAAACTACATCGACATTCTTTCATAGATCACATTAAATCAGTCATGGATCAATGCATTCTTCGAAAAGATTGCATACATAAGTTGCAGTTAAAAGTTTATGCTGATAACCTGGAGGAGTTGGCCCCCATTATGGACCAGTGGATGAAGGCTGCAATTGAGAGGAATGTTTCTGAGCTAGTGTTTGAGATGAATTTTGCTCCAACCGCTTACTATAATATTCCGAAGGAAGTATTTGTCTCTAATTCACTGAAGGTTTTACAGCTTGAGGGGTGTAAGTTTGACGATAGTTTTTCCCGCACTAATCTTCCACATCTACAGAAGCTCAAAACCATGCAGTGCCTGTTTGCCGGTGAGAACGTCTTATCCAAGATTTTATGTGGCTGTCCTGAGTTGGAGTATCTGCAAGCTTTAGTATCTGAAGGCATGAGAAGTTTTCTCTCGGTTTCACGTAAACCTAGATTGAAATATTTTCACATCGGGCGTTGCAACGAGCTCGAGAGGATTGAGATCTTTGTACCCAGTCTTGAAACGTTAAAATGTGATATTCCATATTCATGTTCCATTGATTTGGCTAGCTGCACTCTTCTCAAACATTTGGAAATACACCACGCTATCCTCTCTTCTGATTATGTCCCTATTCAGTATCTTTTATCTAACCTTCTCCAAATTGAAGAATTGCATTTGTCTAACTGTAAACCGGCTGACAAAATTCAAATCTCAAGTCCATGCCTCAAAAGACTTGTCATAACGGAGTACAAAAGCTTTCCTGGTGCTGAACTTGACATCCCAAATTTACTTAGTTTAGACTTCTTTTCTATGGGTGAATGTAATAAGAATAACCGGTTCAGTTCTTGGAATGTTCCCAAGGTAGAAGAAATTCTCATGTTGTTTTCTGTTAAAAGCTTTCGGAGTTCTTGCAGGGGTGGACTGAAGGGGTTCCTTAGGCAGTTACAAAATTATGAGGATGTGAAATTGATTATACAGTGCAGAGGTAAACAGGTAAGTTTCATTGAGTTCTTACTTCACATACATTGCTACCTGAAGTTGCATTTTTTTTTACTGAGATTACAAGCTTTCTATTTCTTCTAAAAGTAACATGCCACCCATGTGTGTATAACTCTTTAGAATCATGCTAAGTATTTTCTGTTCATTTTATCATGGGAAAAGTCTCAATACACCCTTTTGTTTAGCCCAAAGAACTATTATGCTCATTGAGTAACAAAGTGTTCATTTAATCTGACATTCCTCCAACACTCCACAAAAAGCTTAAGAAAATGGAAGATTACGCCTTTACCCACAACAGTTAAAGACTTTCAGTTTCTCTGACTCAAACACACCTTGTTTTCATCGTTCAACTTGACTAACATTCTTGTTTTTATCACTCACGCTGCCACCTACTACATCTCACATTTATCTTCTATTGTCGCCTTCAACAATGGTATTCTCTCGGGCACTTATAATAATTCTTCTACTGGTCAAGACAATGAATGAAGAACAGAATATGCCGTCTGTTCTTGTGATTTCTTCGACGATCAGGTGTAAGAAGATGATAATGATCCACTTTACAAACTGGGTTCCTGATCTTTAATTGATGATTCTTTCAATTGCTTTAAGAACCGCCATCCTGGCTCATATTATGGTACACTTAGTTGGAACCCCCACAACTTTTTAAATTCTATGGTTATAGCTTTTTCTTTTTTCTTTTTATCTAAATAGAGGTTTGTTGAGGTTCTGGTCATCTCCGTAACACTCATTGACACACAAGAAAATTGAGAAGCATATAATTCTACATGCAAGGTTTACTGTATCATCGTTGAGTGGTTCAATGGTGGTAAGACAGGTAACTAGGTAAGTGACAAGGGTGCTTGGCCAGCTAATACACACGATAGAAAGGTATTCAAACAAAGATCAGTCGAATATAAGAGATCTACATTTGGCGCCACGAACTACCCATAGTTGGCACTTGGCAGTGAGAAGTCTATCCCTCCCTCTTTAATAATGCTGAAAACTTGAGCCTAATACTTATTTGGTCGGCCGTCGGTGGTAATTAGTCTGTTATGATTCTGTGAGTTGAAGGCTGCTTCTGTTTGATCATCTTGCCCCTACTTTCTCTCCCTAATCAGCCACTGGGGCTGCTTCTTGCTTTCTTTGCCATGGCAGACGGAGGCCGTGAAAGCACCTCTTTATTCATATACCAAACGTCCAAACATTAACCTAGATTAAGTTCAGTTCCTCCATGTCCAAACAAGATAATCTTCCGTTTTCTAAAGAGGGTATTTTTGGACTGCTTAAGAAATTTTCAGGATAAATAAAAATTTTGTTACTTATGAGGCTTAGGCTATGTTCCGTTGGACTTATTTTGACCCAGACACTGGATCAGTCTAGGCCACCATGATATAATATATTACTTTCATACAAGTATAAAATTTATAACTTCCATAATACTATACTAATCAAAATCACAGTCCAAACTTTACGAGATGATAAAGTTTTAAGGAATGGAGTTGGCATGTTTCAGTATTCTTATTACAATAATCTATTCATTTGGACTAGAACTTTCTTGTCTAGTATTGTCTACACTAGCCTGATTTCTTTTGGTCTGGTGTGTGGTATGATGTGGTCCCTTAAGCTCTTTCTATTTTGGTCTAGTCTAGTTATATTTGATACTTTGTGTACTTTGTTACTATGAAATTCAAGTCTAGTTTGGTGTAGTAAATCCGCTTTGATCTAAGCTAGACTGGTATGATATGACCCGGTCTACTTTAATTATTTCTTGTTCGGTCTCGTGTGCTTGCTATGTTTTTATGTAAGTTTATTATGGTGAAAGCCAATTCATTAATAAATATGTTATTTATTACTTATATAGTTATTAAAATACCAAAATAAATTCTTCTAAATTTATTTTTATTTATTATTTCCAGTTTGATTATCTCTTTTGGTCCAACAAAGTAAAGATTATTATTATCATGTGCATATACCTTTATTTTTACAACCAATTTAAATAATACTCTGTAAAATTAAAAAGTGTGAGAATGTGATATTTTATATTGCACTGCCATTAATGTGTATTTCTATAAAAATAAACTTCACATAATGCCAAGTCAGAGTATCTGACTAGTTCACACCAGTGGAAAGTGAAAACCAAGTCTAACCAAACCAAACAAGAGCAATTCAGATCAGACTAGACTTGAAAATCACATATATTGCTCAACGGGCTAAATTTTTAGGGTGCAGTTGAGACTCTTTTTGTTATCCCTAATCTCGAACTTGCTCTAATGCTAGTCATTAGTATCAGTAATAGTATTAGTATTATCATTATCTTGATCTTGATCATGATCCTCATATTATAGCTATTACCGTTATTGCATCACGTAGTATTATTATTGTTGTTGTTGTAGTTGTTATCATATAACATCTAGAATTTATCATTGAATTTAAATACTGTTTACAGGATCTAATTATGCACGAGAAACTGCAAGCAGTTTCCTTTTCTTCTCTGAATAAATTCTTAAAAAAGGCACAACCAAGATTTGTGCTCATATCATCTAGAAGAGATGATTCGTTCTTGGCTCGTTTGCTGGTTTCTAGAGAAGACAATGTTAGTCTATCCATGATATTTTCTTCTCGCAGAAGCATAGAGGTATTTGGTAGTTACTTTTAGACCTTATCTTTGATATATATATGGATGGGAATGTGTTTCTGCTGCAAGAATGTTCTGAGTGTAGTTTATGTTTTTTACTTTTTAACCTGAATTTCAGTTGTTGCACGAGAAATTGAGCAATGTATCATTTCTGAAGCGTTGGTATAGGGAATTTCAGCTGGTTTCTATAGAGGAGATAGAGCGTGAAATGGACTCTGATTGGAAACCCTTCTTTGAGACCCATTCAATAGGTTACCACACTGCTAGAATAATCCTCATCAGGAGAGTTTGATGGGCATGATCGGTTCAATTCAATGTAGCATGTGTTTGAAAAAATGCTAGGTGGTGGCCCCTGGCGGCGCTTAATCGGGCACAGAACAAAAAAAAAAGCTCTAGTGCTGCTTGCTGGTTATATTCACATCAATCAGATGATGGTTGCCATCTGTAACACTGCGCTCCTGCAATGACAATCCAGTCTAAAAGGTGTTGAGATTCTTTACATTCTCTCAAAATCATATCATTTGCGCATGCTTCATCCATCAATATTAGTTAGTTTCTGGTGGGGGAGCAGTATTGAGGGCTCCTGTCCTCTGAGGCCTTGGTTTTTATCTAGAATAATTTGCAGCTTGATTTTACATTATCAGTCTTGTCACCCCCCATTGGGGGTGTGGATTAGGGGTGGGCAAACGGTACAGAAACTATGGGTCGGGTCGGGTAATACAGGTTCAGGCACGGGTTAGGGTCGGGTCCTAATTTTAGAAAAACCCAAATGGTTCGGGACGGGGCGGGTCCTTAATAACTTCGAAACCAAACGGGTACTAAAATTTGAAAAAACGGGTACCTAGATCAAATTGTTTTAAATTATTATTTTAATACTCTATTATATTTAATATAATATACTAATAACACCCGAAAGCTCTTCATGTTCTTATTTCTAGACAATGACATTCAATTATAGAAACTTGTCAATCAACTAAAAACCAAGTTCATATAAACTCCTAAATATTTTCCCCGATTCGTTATTCCAATGCATCAAATTTTATTTCTTCAATATTTTTTTGTAATTTAAAGACAATTACTCAATGAAGTGTGCATATTCATTTAATAATCTTAATTTTTCTTATAATTTGAAATTTAATAAGCTTTAAATTGTTTTCAAGACAAATATGTAGAGTTACTAGTTTAAAAATAAACATATTAAAAAAAAAATTCTTATGACTTTATAGTGCTATTTTTTTAGTTTATGAATGATGATTAACATTTTGTAATTTAGGTGGTTGTGTTCTGTTTAATTTATAGATTTGTGGTTAAATATTTTATTAACTAATTGAAAATTTTAGTTTTTATATTTTTATTTTGAAGTTTTACTATATTATGGTTACATTAATACTTAATTAGTTTGGGAATTTTATCCCTAACTAGAACCGACCCGTTTCAAACGGGGTGGGTAAGGTCCGGTTCCTATTTTGAGATTTGGTATACCTGAATCGAACATACCCGTTAAATGGATCGATGGTTCTTAAAAATTTGTCAATTACCCAGACCGACCCGAATTGCGCCCACCCCTAGTGTGGATTGTGTATAGAAAGTTTGCATATTTAATATAGACATTAGCATTGGAGAAGATATCTACTAACTTCTATTTAATAAAGTACAACCTTCTAATTGAAATTGAATTTTCAATTAATTGCTATTGAGTCCAATTAATGAATAGTTATTAATTGCAATTAAGTCTTGAATTCTTAGTATTTACTCAATTGAATGCTATTGAGTCCAAATAGTGAATATTCATTAAATTGGTTGCAAATAAGTCCTAAACTCATAATATTTATATATACTACGGAGGAGAAAAGTTCACCACCGGAATTCTAGAGGAGAACCGTCGTCTAGTCGCCGCAATTTGATGATCTTCTCGGTAGTTTTTGTGGTGATTTTTTTGCATGTTTAAATTATATCCACAAAATTTCACCTTAAAATTGGGTTGAGAAGTCAGTTAAACAAATTATTGAAAATAGTGCATTTTATATATAGATATTTTCAAGCAATTATTTTTCAATATTTTTTTAATTGACTTCCATATCTAATTTTAAGCTGAAAGTTTATGAACATAATCTAGACTTCATATAGAATATGCTTACAAAAATTTTATCAAGAAAAAACCATTGTGGACTATCTCAAATGATGGGGATTGTATATGATTTTATATCTTGGTTGATATATAAAAATCAATCACATTCATCAAAACATAAATTAGTTAAAGACTACATAATTCTATTTTATGACAAGCCTATATAAACATTAGTAAAAGACTACATAATTCTATTCTATGACAAGCCTATATCTAAATAGTTCCATCCCACCTTTTGTGTTGTCTGTATGGATGGAAGAGTCATTTTTTCATATAATAGGAGTTGAGAATTTTTAACGGTAGAAGTCAGGATTGAGTCAAACAAAGGATTAGAGAATCCAGATGATGAGATGGACAAAGAAAAAAGTAGTTATATATTTAGGAAGCTCCAAATTCAAACAATGATTTCACACTCCATTTATGTGTGTATTTAGGGAGTGTTTTGATCTTATTCTTAAAACTGTTTCTGCTCCTTCAGGGATAAAAAATAGAAGCAAGAGTGTTTGGGTGAAAGTGTAGAAGTACTTCTGGTGCTATAATTTACTCCTACAATCAGTTTTTTTAGAAACCGGAGGAGACCGGCTTCTGAAAATTGATTCTGATTCTGCTTCTTTTTCTGCTTTAAAAAAGAAGCATAAGTAGAATCAGTTCCATACACCCCTTAATGATAAAATAAACTTTTGATATAAACTTCTATCGACAAACCTTTAAATCAACTACAAATGTCTATGTAGTGGTTAACTATGTAGTGGCCATTAATAAGAGACTAAATTAGGCGTTGAAAATGGCCAGCTTCTTCCTGATCGTTCCATCTGAGTTAAATGTTACATTAAAAAAAGTTATAGTAATTGCATTTACTTACAAACATTTCTTTTCCAATGTATGATGTTTTACATTCAATTCAATATCTTAGTTTGCTATAATAATACTACCTCCGTCCTTAAAAACTTTACTAAAGTTGACCGGCACGAAGAATCATAAAGTAAAAACTATGTGGTTGAGGTTTGTGCAGAGGAGAGAGAAATAACAGAAACCACAAAATAATTGATTAAAAGGGAAAGTGACAAAGTTTTTTGGGACGTCCCAAAAAGGAAGAATGACAAAGTTTTAAGGGACGGAGGGAGTATGATATTTTTGTGAAATTATTACTAATGTGAAACTTATGACAAAATATGACTAATAATACTATAGTAATATAGTATGTATCGTCTTCTTTCAAAAAAGAAAAATACTATAGCATAGTCTTATAGTCACTTTGATGGATAAGTGTACCCGGGGGTATCTATCCGAGGGGTTACTACGGGGAGTAACTAGAGAGAAGTCAGAGCAAAAGTAGAGAGAGAGTGTATATTGATAATGAGCGTATTCCGCGTTTTTTGCGTTGTTTACAAATGGGGAAAGGGGTGCTATTTATAGCAGCAATAAATGGTAGATAGGGACACGTGTCATCATTCTGACGGTCGAGGGGTCACCTGAACGGGGTGGCACTGGCACTCGCATGTGGCCGCATTAAATGTGGTGGTTGGATGTGACGTTTGTACTCGGTACGTTGATCCAGTGCATGTGGGTGGGAGATTCTGTCGATGAAAAGCCTTCGACCGTAGATGATTAGCCGAAGGCTCTTTATCCCGGGGGCCTCTAGGTGCCGAGGGCTCTAGGTGCCGAGGACTACTGTTTTCGTCGCTTTCTCCCAGACACTTTGAGTGCTTAAAAGAAGCTGTACTGTAAGCTTATGAGCCTTCGGCCAAGGAGCCGAAGGCATCCCAGTGTTCGTCGTGGGTTGTTTGGCACTTGGGGCGCTGTGATTTGGGCCTGCTGTGCTTCCTGAGCCTATTGGGCCTTCGCTATAGTAGTGGGAGTCTATGAGCTGGGGGTTCTTGGCCATATACTCCATCAGGAGTCCCTCACTCCTTTTACCGAAAGGTACTTGAGGAAAAAGGAGTAAAATGTGTTTGTCCTCTGATGCTGCCTTGCTGTAGTTTGTAAACCTGTGAGAGATTTTGCGTTCGCACACGATTTTGTCGGGGGCAGCCCTTCAGTCCCCCACATTTTGGGACTGAAGGGTGTTGATGCTATGTGAGAATAGTTTTTTAACATTTTTTTTATTTTCCCGGTTCCCGGAGGGGTTCTCCAGTCCCCCACTCATCGAGGCACATGTAATGTGGTGAAGAGGAGTAGATTAGTGCCCGCTGTTATCATGTTGCCGAAGGCCGACGCTTTTCGTTTCATTTTTGGGGGATGCCTCGTTAAAAACCTCGTTAGAGAAAACCATGTGGGAAAAAATTCAAATGAGGGAAAAAGAGTGCACCGAGTTCCCTCAACGATGAATCGAAAAGGTGAAACCCTGGTTCGAAATGGATGACAGTATTGACGTCGAGGACTATCTTTGTTTGAGGGCGTGTGTGTTGATTCGCCGAAGGCGCTTTGTTAATATCCCGGGGGATGCCGAAAGGGGAGTCCCTCAATCCATGAGATTGAGGGCGTGATGAATGTAAGTGGTAGTTGCTGTGTTGTCGGGGGATGCTCTAGCTGTTTGACAAGCTGGGGATGAGGGCACCCGAGGGGTCTCGTTGTTGTATGCCGAAGGCTGTCCACCTAAAAGAGGTTTTAAATTTGATGTTCCCGAGGGGTCTCCTTATTGTGTGGCCGGGGGTCGACAGTTGATGAAGGTGTGCTCCCCCCGGGTTTTCCTGGCCCTCAATGCGTTGAGGGCTGAGGGTTCCCGAGGGGTAAGCTCGTTGTTAAGGCGTGGGCTTCTGAAGGAGAAAGCCCGAAGGCACTTGTGATGTTGTATGAGGGGTACCAGCCGTGAGCACCTTAGCCTGTGAAATAGAGCCGCTGAGATATGACCGTTGGAATATGGATCGTCGGAATATAGCCGTTGGAGGTGATGTCCACGTGACGTGCTCCCGTTGGCTGACTGCGGGTGGGTGTCATCGATTGACGGAAGGGACGGCGTGTAATGATGATTTTTCTCTCGGGGCCCGGTTTCTTAGCCCAAGCCTGAAGTTGGGAGGCTATAAATACCCCATGGCCAGGGCCATTCTTCTTGTGCGACTATTGTAGCGAAGCTCTGACAAAAATATTTCTAGAGAGAGAAAGTTCCCCTCGATCAAATCAAACTCCCAAAGGTCAGTTCTTCCTCCCGTTCTTGACTTCCTTAGCGTATTTTGCTACCTCGTTCCTTGGATTTTGTGTTGTAGCTTTTGAACCCTTTAGGAATTCTTTACCTTCGAAAAACCTTCGGCCCTTAGTTTTAAGACATGTCTTCTCAAAGTGACTCCCAAAATATCTTGAGGGATCCATCGGTTGAGGAGAAGAGCATCTCTGATGTGGAGTCTTCAAGCGAGCAGCCCTCGACCGGGAATGATGTTGCGATGGCCATGGAGGTACAGAAAGACCTCGTCACCGAGGCCGAAGCTGAGAACTTCGAACAGGTGATCGAAGACGAGGAGATGGCCCTCGCCGTTCAAGTTGCTGAGCAGGAGGAGCAAAAGGAGAGGATGAAGGTTATTGTTGCCGTCCTTCCCCCTGCAATGCGGGTGAGGCCAGCACCTCTCGGCTGCTCAACCCGGAACCTCTCAGGGTGGCCCCGGCGAAGAAGAGCAAGAAGGCTGCCCCCCCAAGAAGAAAGGTAGTGCTGCAGATCTTGGGAAGCCAGTGGGGATTCCCGAGGGGTATTCGTGGCTGAACACTGCTGCCCTGACGATAAGTTCGAGGGCTGATCGGGCTGAGTGCTATGTGACGCAGTTGCACGTGGGGCCTTCAGCGGACGTGGTTGAGCCGGGTCCGAATGACGTACTCTCACGGTCTCCCGAGGGGTGCTTCGCAGTCCACATCCTCTCCGTTTCAATGGGCCTCCGCTTTCCCTTGCACCCCTTCCTCCTGGAGTACTTAAGGTATGTTGGCCTAGCCCCCTGCCAACTCACCCCTAACAGATTGCCCCGTGGAGACTCTTCGATGACGTGCCCTCGTCCCACAAGGGTTGGAGGGATCGTTTCTGTTACGTGAAGATGGCTGACAATCCATTCCCGAGGGAGCTAAGGAATTACTTCTGGAGGCACATAAAGCCGGAGGGTAGTGCTGCCCTCGAGAACGCTGGGAGGAAAATCTATGCTATTCCGGAGGGGCGTAAAAAGCATCTAACAGTCAAGGAGCTTACCCTTGATGATGATTTGTACGGGCTTGGCTTCCGGCGTTACCGTTTCCTAGGAGAGACGGATGAGAAGTACCCCGTCCTTGATTTTGTGGGAGGTAGTTCCCCGAAGGCCATATGTCTTAGTACTTAGCAATTTTTTATGTTCGATCCATGTCACTGTGGTGGATCCCCCTCGGCCTAACCATCTTGTGCTGTGTTTTTGCAGGTAATAACATGGATGCGAACGCCCTGTTTGCTATGAAGAAGAAGAAGGGCAAGGCCCAAACCAAGAAGAAGGATCCTTCAGGCCAGCAGCCCGTGGATGCGTCCTTTCAGAAGGACGGGGTGGAGTCTTCTGCAGCTGTTCCCACCGCTGACGGGGCAGGGGTTTCTCAAGCCGATGCGGCCACGAAGAAGAAGTCTGGGAAGGGGGGAAGCCCTCCGGCAAAGAAGCAGAAGAAGGCAGGGGATGTCGCAGAGAGAGTTGCCCCCGTGATGATAATCGAGGAGCAATCCTCTTCTGAGCCCCCGGTCGCAACCGCGTTGACAGCTCCGATAGGCCTCCCTTCGAGAGACTTTCCTCGGGAGACATTGCAATTCTCCCTTCCCCCGGGAACTTCCGTGATGCACGGCACAGTTGAATCGAAGGCATTCTTGAGGGGGATTACTTCGGGGATGGACATGGCAGCTGCCCTAGAGAGCCAGATCCTCCGGTGTACTCTTTCTGTAAGCCTCTGTTCTTTTTCCTTCTTTACTCACTTAGCACCTTTTGATCGATAATCTAACCTGCTTGTTTGTTGTTCGCAGGCTTGCATAGCCCTCGGTGAGCAGGCCAGGAGGCTCGAAGAGTGGCGTCTTCTGAAGGCTCAACAGGATGAGAAGTTGAAGAAGCTCATCCATGAAAACTCTGATGTCGTAAGGCAGATGGCTACGTTAGAGGAGGACCTTTGACGGGCGAAGGTTGAAGCTGAGAGAGCCAAAGCGGAGGGTCAAGCTGAGGGCAAAGCTGAGGTCGAGAGGGCTGCCACTGAGGTTGCGAAGAAGGTTGTCGAGGAGGTTGAGACTGCCAAAGCTGAAGCGGTGGCTGCCGCCGGGAAGTCTGCAGTTGATGCCTTCATTGCCGGTGGCTGGGAGGCCGCTGATAGGGAAGAATGGGTCTCCTCTGTGGTGCGGAAGAAGATCGACGCCTAGGTTGAAGGCCCCGGTAAGGAGTGGTTGGCCGAGAGAGGCGACTGCTACTACCAAGGGGGTGAGTTCTTCACCCAGCACCTGATATACCGGAGGCTTGCTCGTCACTTCAATGTCTCCCTCGATCAGTTCGACTCGGCGGTGTACGACCTTCCCCCGTTGCAACCAGATGTAAGAATTCCCCTCCCCCCGGGCGAAGAGAGGCCCGTGATTGATGACTCTATGATGATGGGGGGTCCGGCGAGGGCGGTGCTGATGAGGCCGTCGGAGAAGAGGTCACCTCCAAAGTTGCCGAGGGAGAAACCACCGAATGATCTTGTATTTGTAAATCTTTTGAACAATATTTGTAACTGAATACGTTTACCGCCCTTGCATTTGAATACTATCTTCTGAATGAATAGTGTGCCTTCGGGCTTCAATGTTTGAATTTACTCTTTTCTTCTCTTATAGTAAGTGAATGGCCTTCGTTTTTCTTTACGTTCCTTTCATGTATGCGTGTATGTTTGCATTATGATTTGACCGGGGGCTAATCATTTAGGACTTAGAAGAAATATTCCAAGTGTTGTGCAGCATTAGGCCTTCGGTTGAAGCTTCCCCTCGATCTCGTGTAGCTGTCACTAGTTGACTGAGGGCCCAAATTTATAGGACTTAGAATATTTTTCTAAGTGTTGCTCACAACTTTTGCCCTCGGCTGACATCCTCTTTGTGTGTCTTCTGTTGTGTTAGTTGTAAGTCTTCAGTTGTTGGTGGCTGGGGGCCAACAGTCCAGGACTTAGAAAATTCTCAAATGTGGTATTACCTCTGAGCCCTCGGTTGAATGTTGAGTTTGACCGATGGGCAACCTTTTTAGGACTTAGGAAGTTTTTCTGAGTGTAGTTTCACCACTGAGCCTTCTGTTGTGTGACCCCTCTGGCTGCATGGAGATTTGACCGAGGGCCTAATGTTTGGGACTTAGAAAGAGTTCCTACATGTCACCTGTCACTTGGCCTTGGGTAAATGAGCTCTGTGAGTACCAGCCTCCGGTGTAGATTGTAGTGCCGGGGGTTGCTGGAACTTGGACTTAGGAAATTCAAGATCATGTCTGTGGGTACTCGCCTTCGGTGCTGTGTGGCAGGCGCCCTCGGCCGTAGTGGGTTCCCAAAATGTGGACTTAGGAAAATTTTGTAAGACATTCGTGTTGTAATAAAGGCGGACGGGGAGTGGTGCCTTCATTGTTGAGTGGACTTTAGCCAATTTTAATCCTTTAGTAGGATTAGAGCCCTCGGTATTCGTTGATGCCGGAGGCCACCAGTTTGTGGACTTGACTGATATTTGATGTATGGTGACCGGGGGCATTCCTTTGGAGATCCCTCGGTGTTGTCTGACGCCGGAGGGCATCAATATTTGTTGGTTAATCCAGATAGTGGACTTTGTTGAATAGTGGCCTTCTGGAATTAGTAGCTCCCAGGTATCGGAGGTGTTCCCTTGTGGAGCCCTCTGTATAATTTGTATTGTCTTGTAACAACCCTTCTTCCTCTTTGCCGAAGGATGTTCCGTCGTGGATTGTCGGAGTTGTGTACTCATTGATTGCTCGTTGAGTCTACTCCCCTTCACCCCATTTTTTTTGGTAGTGAAGGGAAGGCTTCAAGAAACTTAGTTTCCTGGTAAGGCTTGGCCTATCGGGAGGCAACAACATACACAATTAGCTCCCCCCTCGGGTTAACCTTCCGAGTTCCGAGGGGATCGAGGGTCGTTTCCTCGGCATAAGACAGAGTCTGTAGCCTGCCTCCCCTTGGGGGATGGCACGGAAAGCGCCTCAGTTTTGAAAGTCGTTCTCTCAGCACGAGATGTAGTCTTTGGCCTGCCATACCCTTGGGGTAATGGCGCGGGAAGCGTTTCGTTTTTGAAAGTCGAATCCTGGGCATATTAGTTGCCTGCCACACCCTTGGGGTAGTGGCGCGGAAAGCGTTTCGTTTTTGAAAGTCGAATCCTGGGCATATTAGTTGCCTGCCATACCCTTAGGGTAATGGCGCGGAAAGCGTTTCAGGGATGGGTTTTTTATTTGAACACTGGTTGCAAATGGCCGGGGGCACTACGTGCTGCCGGCACCGATAGGTGGCGCCTTCGGTATAAATGCGTCCTCGAGGGGTACGACTTCCGAAACAACACTTGGTGTCTGTTTCAGCATACGGCCCCCGCTATTTGGTACCGGGGGGTCTTCAAAGGGAAACACTTGGTGTTTTTCGCTGTCTGGAGTTGATAGGAGTACGTACCCTCGGTACTTGGTACGGAAGGGTCTTCTTTGAAAAACACTGGGTGTTTTTCTTCATTCGTTGCAGGTAGTGGGGGTGTCTACCCTCAGCACTTGGTGCCGAAGGGTCTTGCTTGTAATAAGGCCTTGGGCCGAGAGCTTGTTATGAGGGTTTGGCCGCTCATAAGAGTCTTGTTTCTTGTTTTTGGTGTCTTCAATACGTCTTCATTCTTCGAATTTGAAGGCCTTGGGCCGTAGGATAATACATTCATTAGTTATGAGGGTTTGGCCGCTCTAACATTACTGATAAAATTTAACTAGGTGATGTACATTCCAATGCCTAGGGACCTCTGTCCCATTGGGGCGTTTGAGTTTGTAAGTCCCAGGTTTGATGGGGCCCACAAACTTAGGTGTCATCTTGCCGCCCTCAGTTGGTTGGCTAGCTTCCCTCTGTCGGAGGACATAATCCCCCACTTGGAATTCTCGAGAGCGGACCTTGGCGTCGATGTAGCTTTTGACTTGCCTTCGGTAGTTTTCCGCTCGTATGAAGGCTTGCTCTCGGCGTTCTGAGATGAGGTGAAGGTCGAGGGCCATGTTGGCGTCATTGACTTCGGGATCATATTGGGCTACCTTCGGGTAGGAAGAGTCATTTTAGTGGGAGCTTTAGCCTCAAATCCATAGCACAGGGAGAAGGGTGTTTCACCTGTTGCCCACCGAGGGGTGGTGCGGTAAGCCCATAGGATATTGTGGAGTTCTTCTACCCAGCCTCCCCCTTCGGCCTCCAACTTCTTTTTGAGTCCCTCAAGTAATGTCCGGTTGGCATTCTCCACTTGACCGTTGCCTTGAGGGTAAGCAACGGATGAGAAGGTGTGCTTTGATGCCCCATGCCTCTAGGAGGGCACAGAAGGGGGCTGCCTCAAATTGGGTTCCGTTGTCGGAGATGATTTGTTGGGGGACGCCAAACCTTATGAGAATGTTCTTTAGGACAAAGTGGCGCCAACGATGATGTACCTGTTGTTGGAGGTACCCCTCGGCAGAGGGCCCGCAAGGTCTATGCCCCATCTAGCGAAGGGTATAGATGTGCTGATGGGGGCATAGTTGACCGCTGGCCTGCCGGGGCTTTCTGGAAGTGTTGACATGCGGTACATCTTCGGGCGAGATCCGCACAATCTCGGGCCATCGTAGGCCAGAAGTAGCCCTGGATTATGAGCCTTCGGGACATGGAGAAGGGTCCCTGATGAGCTGAACAAGTGCCACTGTGCACTTCCTCCATTGCAACTTCGGCTTCATCTTGATGAAGGCACCGGAGCAGCGTACCATTGTAAGATCGTTTGTAGAGCCTTCCGTCCTCGATGGTGTAGCTGGGGGCCCTCAACTTTGCCAGCTTGGCGCGGGCCTCATCCTCGGGCAGCTGCCCTGTGGTGACGAAGGCAATGATGTCTGAGATCCAGTCCTCCTGTCTTTGTTGTATATTCATGATGGGGCTGACGTGTATGCTGGAGAGGTTGAGCTCCTCGATTTTGGTGATTTTGGATATGTGCTCAGGGGATTCGGCCGAGAGCTTTGATAAAATGTCGGCCTTAGAATTTTGAGCCCTCGGTATTTGAGTGAGAGAGTGTGCCTCAAATACCTTAAGCAATTTCTTGGTGGCTTCCTTGTATTGTTTCATCCTCCCTTTTTTGGCCTCATACTCTCCTGAAATTTGGCCGACGACTAACCTGGAAAGAGAAGCGGATGGCATAAATGGCCAGCCGAAGGCCACAGAGGAGGGCCTCATATTCGGCTTCGTTGTTGGAGACTTTGAAAGAGAAGCGGATGGCATAATAGGCCCGGATGCCTTCGGGAGAAATGAGAACTACCCCTCCCCCATAAGCTTTGATAGCGGAGGAGCCGTCGGTGTAGAGAGTCCACCAGTCATCCGAGGGAGCCGAAGGCTCCTCGTCCGTGGCTGATATTGCCGTGCATTCCGTCACGAAGTCCGCCAGGGCTTGGCCCTTGATGGCAGGCACCGGATGGATGTTGATGTTGTATTGGCTGAGGAAGAGCCCACTTTACCATCTGGGAGGAGCTGGTGGGGCTCCTCATCAAAGCGCCGAGGGGTTGGTGTGTGAGGACTTGGACCGGATGGGCTTGGAAGTAGTGGCCCAACTTCTTGACAGTCCAGACAATAGCTAGCACCGTTTTTTCCACAGGGGAATACCGGAGTTCCGCTTCACTGATGGTCTTGCTAACATAGAAGATGGCATGCTGGACGCCATCTTCTTCCCGGATGAGTACTAAGCCGATGGCCGCCGGGCTAACACCAAGGTAAAGGTACAGGGTTTCCCCTACCTTGGGTTTGGAGAGCACAAGGGGTGAAGATAAATATCGTGTCAGCTCGTCGAAGACCTCCTGGCACTCTGAGGTCCATTGGAAGCCGGCGGTCTTCCTCATGATCTGAAAGAAGGGTAAGGACTTCTCCGCCGATTTGGATAGGAAGCGGTTGAGGGCTGCCAGACGGCCCGTCAATCGTTGGACTTCCTTCACGTTGCGTGGGGGCTCCATGTTGGTGATGGCCTGGACTTTCTCGGGGTTGGCCTCAATCCCCCTTTGGCTCACCATGTAGCCTAAAAACTTGCCTCCTTGCATGCCGAAGGTGCATTTCTTCGGGTTTAGCCAAAGGTTGAACTTTTGCATGATGGCGAAGATCTCCCGAAGGTCGTCAGCATGGCTCGATGATTGTTTGCTTTTGACGATCATGTCGTCAACATAGGCCTCCATGGTGCGCCCTAGGACAGCCTGAAAGACTCTGGCCACCATCCGGGTGTAAGTGACGCCTGAGTTCTTAAGGCCGAAGGCCATGTCAAGGTAGCAGAAGATGCCCTCGGGAGTCATGAAGGCTGTGTTTTCGGCGTCTTCCTCGTGCATGAAAATTTGGTGATACCCTCGGAAGGCATCGAGGAAGGACATGATCTCGCACCCCGCGATCTCTACCACCAGTTGATCAATATTTGGCAAGGGAAAGGGGTCCATGGGGCACGCCTTGTTTAAATCAGTGTAGTCTACGCACATGTGGAAGGTGAGCGGCTTTTGTGCGAGGACTACGTTAGCCAGCCATGAGGGGTATTTTACCTCCTTGATGTGCTTGATGGAGAGGAGCATGGCGACCTCTTTCTTCACAAAATCCCTTCTCTCGGTCGAGGGGGTCTTCTTCGCTGTTGTATAGGTTTGACCGAAGGGTCCACCAAGAGGCGGTGGGTGATGACCCTTCGGCTAATTCCGGGCATGTCCTCCGACCCGCATGCAAAAACAATGGAGTAGGCGTGGAGGGCTTCAGTTATGTCGGTTTTCAGGTCTTCAGGGAGCTTGGCTCCAATCTTCACAACCCTCTCCGGCTTGGCCGGATCGAGTGCGAGGTCTTCTACTTCCTCGGCGGGCTCAGCCCTCGGCCTCTTCTCTTCTCCCTCCACGGTTCCGGTGATGGTGTCAACACGGAACTCGGTCTTACTAACCTTCTTTGTCACTTGAAGGTAGCAAGCGCGGACAAGTTTTTGATTCCTCTTTGAGTACCCGATGCCCCCTTCGGCGGGGAACTTGAGGCACAGATGCCTCATTGAGATGATGGCTTCGAGGTCCTCGAGGGCTGGTCTGCCGAGGATGATGTTGTGGGTGCAGTCAATGTTGATGACGACGAACTCCACTTCGAGCTTGGCTCTATGGAGCCCGTCGCCGAATAGTACCGGAAGGGTAATTCCCCCCTCGGAATCAATGGTGTCTCCGGTGAAGCCGGCGAGAGGGGTCTTGATTGGCCGAAGGGACTCCCTCTCCAGGTGTAGCTCCTTGAAAGTGCTGAGGTACATTACGTTGACGGAGCTACCTGTATCAACGTAAGTTCCCTCACGTATAGCGATTGCGCCCACTTCTTCCGCTGGCTGGTGGAGTCCCCCCCTGTGTTACCTCCAGTGATCATATGGATGTGGCGCTTCTTCTCCTGGTACTGGATGTACTCTTCCTCCTCATCGAGGTTTCCAATTTCCCTCTTCTTATCCTTCGGGTCACCGAGGGGGATGGTGTTTGGGTTGACCCAAGCGTTTGCTTTCTTAGGGGCCCCCTGGTAGTGAGGCCCCCCCTGAGGCGGAGGGCATCTGATGAATTGGGACAGGTGGCCTGCCTGTATCAATCTTTCAATGGCCGTCTTCAACTGATGGCAGTCGTCGGTGATGTGCCCTTGGTTGCGGTGGAACCGACAGTAAGGATAATTGGGGTTGATGGCGTATACCTCCAGGGGTGCGTGAGAGTCGCGCTCCACAAGGCCCCTCTCCTCGGCGAAGTCTAGGATGACACTGACGGGGTGCGTCAAGGGAGTCCGAGGGTGCTCCAAAAGAATGGGCTGGGCCCAAGCCTTCGGGTTTCCCTTGTAACCTCCCACGGGCTTGGCTTGGCCATGCTGGGGGCGATCACTGGGGGGTGCCGATACCTTGGATTGATTATGGGGAGCCCCCGGCCCTCGGTTACCCTTGTCATCTGGCCGAGGGCGTTGCTGATCGGGGTTGTGATGACACTTTTCCACCTCCTCGGCCTCGACATACCGGTCCGCCCGCTGCAGGGCCCTTATGTAATCGCGGGGAGGTTCGATGATGAGGCTCCTCGAAAAGTTTTCGGTGCGGAGGACGGTCTGTAGGAGGGCCAAGAGGGTCCCGTCGTCAGCACCGTCAACCTTGTCAGCCTCCGTCCTCCAGCGTTCCAAGAAATCCCGAAGGGTCTCTTCCTTCTTCTGCCTCATCGTTAGCAAGTGGGAGAAGTGCTTTCTTGTCTTGCATCTCCCCGCAAACTGTGTTAAGAAACGCTGGGTGAGTTCTTGCCACGAGTCAATGCAGCCTTCGGGCAATCGGTTAAACCATTCGTATGCCGGTCCCTCTAAGGTGGAAAGGAACCAGCGGCACAAATATTCATCCGACGCCCCCACCATCATCATGCTGTTCTGATATCTACTGTAGTGCTCCTGGGGGTCAGTCTTCCCGTCGTAGGGCTTGATGAGTTGCCCTCGGTGTTTCTCCGGGATCCAGGCCGCCAATACCCTTGGGGTAAATGGCGTCCGGGTCCGGAGTTGTATGGTGGATTCCCCGTGATGGAGTATATGGCCCGAGAACCCCCGGTCCACAGACTCCTACTACAAATAAATGCCCAACAGGCCCAGGAAGCACAACAGGCCCAAATCACAGCGCCCAGAGTACCAAGCGGCCCACAGTGTGCACCAGGGGTGCCTTCGGCCCCCTGGCCGAAGGCTCTGATCCTCACAGGAGGGTCAAATCAGGAAAACAAAGTTACTGGGAAAAACGGCGAAAATCAGTAGCCCTCGGCACCTAGAGCCCTCGGCACTAAGGAGGTCCCCGGTACTCAGAGCCCTCGGCTAATCATCTACATCCGAGGGCACCTTTTCCGACATAATATCCGCTCCACATGCGTATGGATCACTGTACCAAGTACGACGTCACATCCAACAGCCGCATTAAATGCGGCCACATGCGATTGCCAGCGCCAACTAGTTGAGGTGACCCCTCGGCCAATGGATGCTTGACACGTGTCCCTGTCCGCCATTTATTTCTACTATAAATAGCACCCCATTTCCCCATTTGTAACCAAGACGCAAGAAGCAAATACGCTGAATACACTTTCTAATATACTCTCTCTCTCTACTTACTTGCTCTGACTTCTCTCTAGTTATTCCCCGTAATAACCTCTCGGATAAGCTACCCCCCGGGTACATTATCCATCATTTGGTGCTCGTTGAGAGATCGAACAATCAAGTAAGAAACTCTCCCCATCAGCGTCATTCTTGATTTTGCTGAGGAGAGGGGCCTAGTGGAGCGAGATTCACGCGCACCCCCGGAAGTATTTGCTATCAATCCAAACTACCCCTATTGTCGTTTCCACCGACACCAGGGGCACATGACCGATGACTGCCATCAGCTGAAGACGGTCATCGAAAGATTGATACAGGCGGGCCATCTGTCCCAGTTCATCCAAGGCCCTCGGCAACAGGGCCCCCCCTCACCAAGGGCCAACCCGAGGGCAGACGGAGAAAGCCAATGCATGGGTCAACCCCAACACCATTCCCCTCGGCAAAAAGAGGGAGATTGGGAACCTGGAAGAAGAGGAGGAGGAGTACCCCCGGTACCAAGAGAAGAAGCGCCACATCCTCATGATCACGGGGGGCAATACCGGGGGTGATTCTACGAGTCAACGGAAGAAGTGGGCTCAATCACTTTACGTGGGGGAAGTCACTCATATGCCCCCAGTAAAGCGACTGAGGGAGGAACCCATTATCTTCACCAACGCTGATCTCCCCCCCGTATCCTCCCCACACAGGGATGCCCTCGTCATCCGAACGGAAATAAATGACACTATTATTCACAGAACTTACATTGACACGAGCAGCTCCGTCAATGTGATGTACCTCAGCACCTTCAGAGAGCTGCATCTGGAGAGGGGGTCCCTTCGGCCCATCAAGACCCCTCTTGCTGGCTTCACCGGCGACACCATTGATTCCGAGGGGGTTATAACCCTCCTGGTACTCTTCGGCGACGGGCTCCATAGAGCCAAGCTCGAAGTGGAGTTCGTCGTCGTCAACATCGACTGCGCCCACAACATCATCCTCGGCCGGTCAGCCCTCGAGGATCTCGAAGCCGTCATCTCCATGAGGCACCTCTGCCCCAAGTTCCCAGCCGAGGGGGGAATCGGTTACTCAAGGGGGAACCAAAAGCTTGCCCACGCTTGTTATCTTCAAGTAACAAAGAAGGTTAGCAAGACAGAGTTCCGCGTTGACACCATCACCGGAACTGTGGAAGCGAGGAAAGGAGGCCGAGGGCTGAACCAGCCGAGGAGGTAGAAGACTTCGCGCTCGAGGGTAGAACTCGAGGTTTAAAACTAGAAGTCAGAACTCGAGGTTTAAAACTCGAAGTCAGAACTCGAGATTTAAAACTCGAAGTCAGAACTCGAGGTTTAAAACTCGAGGTCAGAACTCGAGGTTTAAAACTCGAGGTCAGAACTCGAGGTTTAAAACTCGAGGTCAGAACTCGAGGTTTAAAACTCGAGGTCAGAACTCGAGGTTTTAAACTCGAGGTCAGAACTCGAGGTTTAAAACTCGAGGTCAGAACTCGAGGTTTAAAACTCGACGTCAGAACTCGAGGTTTAAAACTCGAGGTCAGAACTCGGGGTTTAAAACTCGAGGTCAGAACTCGAGGTTTAAAACTCGAGGTTTAAACTCGAGGTCAGAACTCGAGGTTTAAAACTCGAGGTCAGAACTCGAGGTTTAAAACTCGAGGTCAGAACTCGAGGTTTAAATCTTGAGGTCAGAACTCGAGGTTTAAACTCGAGGTCAGAACACGAGGTTTAAACTCGAGGCCAGAACTCGAGGTTTAAAACTCGAGTTGAAGACCGCGAGTTTACAACTCGAGTTCATGACTGCGAGTTTACAACTCGAGTTCATGAGTGCGAGTCTAAAACTCTCGATTTTAAAAACTGACTAATTTTGAGAATCTGAAAACTATTCTGAATAGCCCTGAAGGTCGCGATCCCTCCTGTATCTATTTCAAGTCAAAATCGTTTCTGCAGCAGTGTATAATCATAAACTCGAAATACCATGAGAGTTCTACAAAAAATTAAAGTTTTCAGAAAACGAAAAAGGGAATATGCTGCTGGATTGGTTTTGAAAGGCGATTCCAACAGTATAATTTTTACAGATTTTCGTTCGCAAACAAGATTACAGGAGCAAAACTCTATATGAAGAAAAAGAGAAGAAAAGCAGAGCATTCTTCGTTAGATCCAAGAAAATCGCAGATACATTCAACCTGTTTCATGCCTCGGCTCTGATACCAATTGATAGTCCCAATACAAACAACAATCAAAACAGGTATAAAGAAGCAGATAGAAAGATATGGAGAAGATTCAAACCAAATCTGGTATACCGTATGAACTGGCCGCTGCTCTCCCTAGAGAAGGAGAGCAGCGACAACCCTAATCTCTCTATCTTTACGCCTCTGTTCTCTAAAGTCTCTTGCGTTAGTTTGGGTTCCCGTAAGTTAGCCTCCTTTTATAGGAGAAGTTGACCAACTTACAAGGAAGCTAACGGGCTGATACACATTTGTGGCCCGTATTACACGTTTAATTAATAACTACACAAATACAAAGATATTTAATTAGATTGGACACCATAAAATATTTCTAATAAATATTCAGTCTCACTTTGTTTATTTTTGAGAGCACTACATACAAGCTAAAACCTCCCTCACACAACATTACTCTGCTGGATTAATCATTTTCTACTTTCATTGTTCTGTTACCGGCTTAGGCCGAAGAGATCGTTTTATCTTGGGGAAAGGTTTTCGCTAGTCGGAAATACTTTTTTGAGGACAGCGTTTTACACGATTGAGCTATGTTATTTTCTAACGTTTTTGCATGTTTATCTGACCAATTCCTCCAACATATATTATGTATGACTTTTCTTAACAAAGTACCTTAAGTAATTTTATTTCATATTTGTACAGTGTTATTCATATGCACAATATAAGAGCCCGTTTGGTAGCACGAAAATCGGCTGTTTTGGCTGATTCTGCTGAAATTTATGAAGTTCTGATTGAAGTGGCTGCATTGGCTGATTCTGTTGATACAAGAAAAAAAAATTTTTTAAATATATTTTATTAATAAAATAAAGAAAAAATTATATGTAAAAATAGCTAAAATGATCATCTACAGTAACTTCAGCCAATACAGTCAGAAAAGTAACTCCAACCTTACTTTTTCGGCTTATTACACAATTCAGCGCGCGAAAGCAAAATTTACGTGTTTGGTAAAAAAGTTGGTTGATAAGCCTGATAAGCCGAAAATGAGGGTTGCCAAACGGCCTCTAAATTTTCTATTCTTCAATACTAAGTTGCTTTTAATAATAACTAGTATCTTAAGCAACGGCTGATATAGTTAATCATGTATTAATCTAAACAATAATGTTTATACAAAAAGGTATAAATCAAAAAATTAAGATGCATAAATCATAATTGATGGTCACTAAGACAATTTCAAAAAAGTAACACCAAATAATATGCAAAATTTACGTGTTCTTGCAACACTTCCTTGTGCACGATATTTGGGATCACATTTGTAGTTTTCTCTATTCAAATTTCTATGGGAACTTGGCATATGTCAATCTTTGTAATGTATTTTTTTGTTTGCCTCAAACCAAGCAGGATACGTGTTATCCCCAACACTTTCGATAGGATCAAGAACTTTGCCCAATTATGAGAAAAGATAATTGTTTGTAATGTGATATGAAATTTTTTCCAACGACCACAATGACAATGGCACTAATGACGGTGGCCGTGACACCGGTGACGACAACAATGACACTGGCAAGGAGATACTAAAATAATAACGACATTATCATTTTTCAATGTCACATTTTTGTTCATATATAAAAATAGTCACCTATTTCAAATCAACTTTAATGTAGAGTAATATTCAAGGAAAATCACAACATAAAATAACAATGGCTACTCCGTATAATTGATCATGTACTTAACATCTTATACTCAGTATTAAGAGATTTAACAATTTGAAAAACACAATTATTAATATTGTGGATTGCATTACATAAAACAATTACAAACTTTTTTGAGAATTAAATTTATTCTTTCACATATTACGTACATAACAGACCAAGATATAATGTACTTTTTTAAATATTGGCATACGAGAAAAAAGTAATTTTGTATCTTTTCCTTTCTCTAAATAGGACATTATAAAATTATATTTTGAAAAAAATAACTCTTGCTCTTGCTTAGGGGAATCTTTTATTTGAGAATTTTTTATACCTTCCAGGATGACAACCACCATCTTATGCAGTACGATAGGCCCTTCAGTGTCATCGTATTCTGTTCACGGCCGAGCTCGCCCATTTCCTTCGAGGATGGAGACCACCGTCTTATGCAGCACGATCGACCCCTCAGCGTCATCGTGTCTAGTTCACGGTCGGTTCGTCCATTCCTTCCAGGATGGCAACCACCGTCTTATGTAGTGTGATTGGCCCCTTAGCGCCATCATATCCCGTTCACTGTCAGCTCATTCATACCTTCCAGGATGGCGACCACCGTCTTATGCAGTACGATCAGCCCCTCAGTGCCATCGTATCCCGTTCATGGTCGGCTTGTCCATACCATCCGGGACGGCGACCACCGTCTTATGCAGCACGATCGGCCTCTCAGCGCCGTCATGTCTAGTCACGGTCAGGCTCGCCCATTCCTTCCAGGATGGGGACCACCGTCTTATGCAGCGCGATCAGGCGGATCAGCCCCTCGGCGCCATCGTGTCTTGTTCATGTTTGGATCACCATTCCTTTCTAGGATGGGACCCACCAATGTATACCATGCCTAACACACCATCTGTCATACATTGCACGCATTCATACATTCATGCATCATATTTCACAGAATCATGCATACACATACATCATATCTCGAGGTTGTTGCCTTTATATGTGCAGAGGCCTCTAAGCTTCTTGGTTGGAAAGCCGAGTCAGAATCCCTTACTCCTACCTGATACATTCAGGGGGATAGTGTCCGAGGAAGAGCGTCCCTTGCCCGATCCAATCGGGAGGGGGAGCGCCTTACCAGCAGATTACGTTCAGAGGGGTAGACACCCACTCATGTAGTAGAATTGCTCGAAGACACAGGTCCAAGGAAGACAAAGGAATTGGGAGATTCACATGCTCACTACTCAAGAAATTGGGAGACTTGTGTGTTGAGATATATTACCCCAGCCTACCACTGTTCAGGAGCCCAAGACATTACTTAGCACGGAGCCCGATCAGTGAGGCCCGTTTAGGCCTATCGAGCCCGTATCAGTCCATTCGGCCCATCGGGCCCATTTGGCCCATTAGGGTGGTGTACCCCTCCCCCTTTCCTCTATAAATAAATAGGATGATTTCCCTCCTAATAAAGGATCCCCTTCTCTTCTCCTCCCCTCTCTAAATAGCTAGTCTAATACTCCATTAATGGGAGCTCAAGTGTACAATGTAATGGTGAGGAGAGCAGTAATAAAATGAGAGGGCTTGGACATTGTCTAAATAGTCCGTGATTTTATCCTTTTCGGGTTTCCAAGTAAAAATAGCTTGTTCATACAAAATTATATCTATATTTATTATATCGTGTTGGATTAAACGCAACAAGGTGTGATTTATGTTTTAATGATGATTTGCAAAGAAAATTAAAAAACCTGGAATAGCAGATCATCAACCGGTCAAGGACCAACGAATGGAGATGAGGTACAATGTTGGATTATTCTTGAATTACGATAAAGTAGGACTATTATAAGAAGACCGCAAAAAATTTGGATTATTAGTTTTCATTTTCCTTTTTTCAAAATATTTTCTAAATTTAAGATATTTATATTTTAATTGGTTTGATTTTTTGGAAAAATACCCCAATATTACTAAGATTTTTTGGAAAAATACCCCAATATACCCCACTAAGATTATCTCATATCAAATTTAGTAAAATTTGTGTGACCCTAACTCGTTTTTACTCATACCAGTAAAAACGAGTTAGGGTCACACAAATTTTACTAAATTTGATATGAGATAATCTTAGTGGAACTGACCGATTGAAAAGATGAGACAATTTTAGCGGAACGAATGACATATCATATAGAAATGTAATTTATTTAAATTAACTTAGTTTTCTATACAATAAAGTCACAGTTCTTATTAATCTTGTTTTTTCATTATCACAAATCAACAAATATATCACATAGTAATTTTCTAACTGCTTAGTTTAACTTCTTATACAAAATCACTGAACAATCACGAGTCCTAAACACACAATTTTACACTTTTTATAGCATAATTAAGTAAAAATAATGAAATCATTTGGGATGAAAAAGCACAAATTCAAAATGAACAAACAAAACAAGTGTGATTTGTGAAGAAGAAGTAAACACCTAAATCAATAATAATAATAATAATAATAATAATAATTATTATTATTATATCTTGAAACCTAAATGAATAAATGAATAATTTCATAATGTGAAATATACTAGGACATTTGTCGCCACGAACTACCCATAGTTGGCACTGCAGTGAGAAGTCTATCCCTCCCTCTTTAATAATGCTGAAAACTTGATCCCAATACTTATTTGGTCAGCCGTCGGTGGTAATTAATCTGTTATGATTCTGTGAGTTTAAGGCTGGTTCTGTTTGATCATCTTGCCCCTACTTTCTCTCCCTAATCAGCCACTGTGGCTGCTTCTTGCTTTCTCTGCCATAACAGGCAGAGTACCAAATGTCCAAACATGAACTTCCTCCATGTCCAAACAAGATAATCTTCCGTTTTCTAAAGGGGATATTTTTGGACTGCTTAATAAATTTTCAGGATAAATAAAATTTTTGTTACTTATGAAGCTTAGGCTATGTTCCGTTGGACTTATTTCGACCCAGACACACTGGATCAGTCTAGACCACCATGATATAATATATTGCTGCCTCTATTCTTTAAAACTTTGTCATATTTGAAACTTGACCAACTGTATATTTTTATTGGAAACTATTGATAATAAAAAATAGTGGAAATGTTCTTTGTTAAAAGTATTTTCATACAAGGATAAAAATCACTAATCAAAATCACAGTCCAAACTTTACGAGATGATAAAGCTTTAAGGAATGGAGGTAGCAAGTTTCAGTATTCTTATTACAACGATCTATTCATTTGGACTAGAACTTTCTTGTCTAGTCTGGTCTACACTAGTCTTATTTCTTTCGGTCTAGTGTGTGGTATGATATGGTTCCTTAAGCTCTTTATATTTTGGTCTAGTCTAGTTATATTTGATACTTTGTGTATTTTGTTACTATGAAATTCAAGTCTAGTATAGTCAAGTCTAGTTTGATATAGTAAATCCGCTTTGATCTAAGCTAGACTGGTATGATATGACCCAATCTACTCTAATTATTTCTTGTTCGCTCTCTTGTGCTTGCTATGTTTTTATGTAAATTTTTTATGGTGAAAGCCAATTCATTAATAAACATGTTATTTATTACTTATATAGTTATTAAAATACCAAAAATAAATTCTTCTAAAATTATTTTTATTATATTATTTCCAGTTTGATTATCTCATTTGGTATTTTAATAACTACAATATGTATAGTATATTGCACTGCCATGAAAGTATATCTATAAAAATAAACTCACACAATGCCAAGTCAGTGTATCTAACTAGTTCACACCAGTGAAAACCAAGTGTAACCAAACCAAACAAGAGAGCAATTCAGATCAGACTAGACTTGAAAATCACATATTGCTCAATGTGCTAAATTTTTAGGGTGTAGTTGAGACTCTTTTTGTTATCCCTAATCTCGAACTTGCTCTAATGCTAGCCATTAGTATCAGTAATAGTATTAGTATTATCATTATCATGATTATGATCATGACCCTCATATTATAACTATTACCGTTATTATATCACGTAGTATTATTATTATTGTTGTTGTAGTTGTCATCATATAACATCTAGAATTTATCATTGAATTTAAATACTGTTTACAGGATATAAATCATATAATTATGCATGAGAAACTGCAAGCAGTTTCCTCTTCTACTCTGAATAAATTCTTAAAAAAGGCACAGCCAAAATTTGTGCTCATATCATCTAGAAGAGATGATTCGTTCTTGGCTCGTTTGCTGGTTTCTAGAGAAGACAATGTTAGTCTATCCATGATATTTTCTGCTCGCAGAAGCATAGAGGTATTTGGTAGTTACTTTTAGATCTTATATTTGATATATATATATATATATATGGATGGGAATGTGTTTCTGCTGCAGGACTGTTCTGAGTGTAGTTTATGTTTTTTACTTTTTAACCTGAATTTCAGTTGCTGCACGAGAAATTGAGCAACGAATCATTTCTGAAGCGTTGGTATAGGGAATTTCAGCTGGTTTCTATTGGGGAGATAGAGCGTGAAATGGACTCTGATTGGAAACCCTTCATTAAGATAATCCTCACCAGAAGAGTTGGGATGGACATGATCTATTCAATGTAGCACGCGTTTGAAAAGAGCTTGGCGGTGGCCCCTGGCCTGGCTTAATCTAGTGCAGCTTGATGTTATATTCACATCAATCAGATGATGCTTGCTATCTGTAACACTGCTCTTCTGCAATGACAATCCATTCTAAAAGGTGTTGAGAATTCTTTACATTCTCTCAGAGGGCTCCTGTCCTCTGAGGCCTTGGTTTTTGTCTAGAATAATTTGCAGCTTGGTTTTTCATTATCAGTCTTGTCACGAGAGATTAGAGCCTCCATTGGGGGTGTGGATTGTGTAAAGAAAATTGGCCACAACCATATTTAATATAGACATTAGCATCGGAGAAGATATCTACTTACTTAATAATAAAGTACAACCTTCTAATTGAAATTGAATTTTCAATTAATTGCTATTGAGTCCAATTAGTGAATAGTTATTGATCGTAATTAATTCGTGAATTCATAGTATTTACTCAATTGATTACTATTGAGTCCAAATAGTGAACATTCATTAAATTAGTTGCATATAAGTCCTATAAGCTCAAAGTATTTATATAGGGAGAACTATCAAATAAGCCCTCGAACTTTCATAAAAAGTGCAAATAAGTCCTTTTACAGGAGGTTTTGTCCGGCTGTCGCCATTTGGGGTGATTTCCGGTGAAATTTTTTGATGAATTTTTTTGAGCATCTTCTTCATTAAGTCTAGTTTGTTCATACCAAATTTCAGCTAAAAATTCAATCGAAAAGGCAGTCAAATGATTTTCTGAAATATACTGCGCTGTCTAATTGCGCAGTTATCTTCAAAAATTCATTTGACTGCATTCCCGATTGAATGTTTATTAATAAAACTATATTTCTCAAAGTTCCGTAAAAATCATTGTTCGTTACCAACAATGAGAAATTACCAAAAGGTTGTTGGTTATTTGCAAATCTCGATATTTGAGTTTGCTTCCCCGTTCTGTCGCCTAATTTTGCATACTCCACTGGGTGTTTGACCTTAAGATGCCTTGCGGTGGATCCGTATAGGGGTGGACTCGGCCCGAGCCAACCGGTCCGGAACCGGACCGGCCCGCTACTGTGCAAGCCCGGACCGGCCCGGTGAACCAGTTGGTTGGCCGGTTCAGGCCACCCGGTGGGATCTCGGTTCGGGCTCGGGCCCTTCAAAAGGTGAACCGGCCCGGCCGGGCCAATGTTAATTTTTTTTTTGAATTATTTTTAAGTTTTTGGGTTGGGCTGCGTATTTTAGGCCATTTGAGGTGGTTAGGGTTGGTTTGGGGTAGGGATGGACTCGGGTCCGGGTCGGGCCTAGGCCCGGGTCGGTCGGCGGTACAGAAATGGTGGACCCGGGACCGGCCCGGGCAACCACCGGGTCCGGGCCGGGTCGGGCCCATTATCATTTTTTTTTGTTTTCCTCTTCCTAATTAACCCCCCTCCCACCCCCAACCCCCAAACCACCCCAAATGGTCCAAAATAAACAGCCCAACCCGAAAACTTAAAAAAATTGAAAAAAAAAATAGTTTTTGGCCCGAACCGGGCCCGAGCCCGACCGGGTCGGGCCTTGTTTTGGGTGACCCGAGCCCGGACCGGAAAACCCACGGGCCGGGTCTACTCGGACCGGTCACTGACCGGGCCGGAACAGTACCGGTCCAGGGCCGGTTCCGGTTCGGGCCACCCGGCCCGAGTCCATCCCTAGTTTGGGGGTGAGGGGGAGGGTTGGGGGTTAACTAGGAAAAGCCCAAAAAAAAAAATAACCGAGGCCCGGCCCTGCCCGGCCCGGCCCTGCCCGGACCCGGGGGTTACCCGGGCCGGTTCCGGGCCTCCCCTACCTTGAACCGAGGCCCGACCGGTTCAAGGCCCGAACCGGGCCCGGCCCGAACCGAGTCCATCCCTAGATCCGTATCCGCCGGAAATCCCCAAGCAATAATTTTTCTTGCACCACTGGCAAGTTGCGTTCCAATTCCCGGTGTTCGGGTCCTTCCACTTTTCAAAATTATTAAGCATTAGTTCAGATTTACTTTTTTTCGTACCGGTTTAGGATGAGGCAGGCTTGTCGGCGTCGTGGCTGCCGCCACCCTCCTCCGCGTCGGCGTCGTGGCTGCCGCCACCCTCCTCCGCGTCGGCGTCGTGGCTCTCCGGAATTACTTCCTCCACATTGTCATCCTCGAGCTCTTCTTCGTCAATGGTCCTCGGTTGGTCTTGGAAAAAGCGGCTATTATGTCGGTGCAATTCTTGTTCAAATTGTTCATCGGTCATCGCATCCCCATCCCTCCTTGTGTAACCCGTATCAAAATCATCTCGGCTTTGAGATGAAGAGCCGATATGTGATTTACCTTTGCAGGATCTCTTCCTCGCAAGCTCGTTCGTTTGGTTGCGGTCGAGGTTACCCATATCAATCGAATATCTACCACCTTGCATCTTAAAAAAGTAACAAATATTAATTTATAAAAACAATGCGAACTAATGAAATAAAATTCTAACAATTCTAACTTTAATGAAATAAAATTCTAACAATTCTAACTTTAATGAAATAAAATTCTAACAATTCTAACTTTAATGAAATAAAATTCAAACTTTAATTGAGTAATGAATTAACTAGTTTTTTGTACTAGTTATTTGAACTAATCAATAGTATTTTTTAAAAAATACTTAAAACCAAAATTAACTAGTTTTTTGTACTAGTTATTTTATGTACTAACAATCAAAGTATTATATAAAATGTACTAACAATTAGAACTAAGGAAATAAAATGTACTATCAAACTAACAATTTTATAGCAAAAATTGTAATGAACTAATTAACTATTTTAATGAAAAATGTAACAATTCGTGGGAATACTAATTAACTAATGAAGTTATGTTAATACAAAATGCAACAAGTAGATAATAAGTATGTAAAATGTATTAAGTAGATGTAAATTGTAATAGGTATGTATTTAGTATTTTAGTAGATAAGTAGATAATAAGTTGAGATTAAGTAGATAAGAATATAACTTAAGTATTTATAAATAGATAATAACATATGTATTTATAAATAGATAATTAATATATAAGTAGATAAGAAATATAAGTAATATAATATATGTATTTATAAGTAGATAAATCATATAAGTAGATATATAATATATTGGAGAATAAGAGAATTTGAGAAGATGAAGATGAAAATAATTAGAGAGTAGAGAGTAGGATTTAGAAAGAGTCGGAGAAGAGATATGGAAAAATGTTTAAGATTAGGAGTATTTGTAGTTTTTTTTACCCCACCCTCCCCCCACCCCCCAAACTGCCCGGACTCCCTGCCAGCCCCACCCAACGGCTATATAGTCGTTTGGGTAGTCCCCAGTCCACCCCAACGGCTCTTTTGGCCCAAATGATTTTTTTAAATATAGCCGTTGTGACCCAGATCCGGGCCCGACCCGGCCGGGCCGGGTGACGTCTAGCAGGAACCGAGCCCGCCCCCCGCTGCTCCCTGGTTCGAGTCTACACCCGGTCCCAGACCGCCAGACCATGCCGGTTCCGGGCCCGCACAGTAGCGGGCCGGGCCGGGTCACGAGCCGGGTGGTCCGAACAATCTATAAGTTTTCACTTCTCCAACCAAAAAAATAAGACTGAAGTTTCTACCGTCATTTTGCCACTTTTATTAGTCCATAATCATTTTTTGGACATTTTTTCAATTTACCCATAATCATTTATTAGAAATTGCTCAAAATATGACTATAACACAACAAATTTTCTAAAACAGCATTGAGTATGTTTTCTTTCAAAATAGGATTTATTTGGTTTTATTTTAAAAGTAAATGAGTAAAAATTTCCTTAAATAACAGTGCGTGGATTTTATATCGGGAAGATAACAAGTTTAATAAGAAAATTTGCTATATTTTATATGAGAATATTCTCTAAATTTCGGATATTGTTAATTAATCTGGTTTTAATCTCATATCAAATTAAATAAGATCATAGCACAATATATTAGAGCAGACTTAAACACGTCAGACAAGACTTCAATAGTTATAAATAGAGAAAAGAGGTACAAAAACCCTTGAACGAGAAGACCCTGCAAATACACCCTCGATTCATTGAAGTAAAACAATCAAACATTTTTTACCTACTAGTCTGAGTAACTTGCCACAAGAAAGTTAAAAGTTCACCGGTCTAATCGCAGAATCACTAATAATCTTATTGTTTTATTTTAATGGGTTGATGAATTTATTTATTTACCATTTCAAAACATATTTACTTCTATTTACTTGATTTTTTTCTCAAAATGTATTTGAATTACAATTTTACTTCTATTTACTTGAATTTTTTCTCAATTTTTTTTTCTCAATATTTATTTACTCTTATTTGCTACAAGAGTATTATGTTTTCATTTCCGAAACAGGAGCCGTTACTGCTACAATTGAAAAATACTGCTATCAGTGATAATAAATATTACTACGTACCATGTTGGTGCCTAGTACTACATTAACTTGGCAATTTGACTACACGCTGACATGAACTAATACTTCGGGATTGGGATCCTCTGCCGGACTAGGAGGGTCCTTGGGCATCGGACGGACGGGCAGCGGCCTCCTTGAGCATCGGACAGATGGGCAGCGGTAAGGACAGCCTTGAAATCAGAGAAAATGTGGACCCCAAGATCTATGACTGTTGAATTGCCGATCGGATGGCTGTCCGGAAGCAAGTCACTCTACCTTGCGCTGAAGCAAGGCAGAGTATCCCAATCCAATACTTCGTACTACCTCTATCCCATTCAAATGTTCTCATGTCAAAATGACACGATTATTTAGACAATAATTTAATATGCTAATTCAAGTACATTTTGAGAAATAATTGTTATAAATGTATTATTTTTAATATTTGATAATTAATTTATTAACTCCGCCATGATATCATTTTTTTGGTATCATGCCTGTCCCAAGCCAGGATAAAGGAGGAGGGTGCTGTGGTAGGCGTGTGACGGCCAACAGTATCACCTAGTCACATCACATGACATGAATCGAAATATGAAAATCGCTAATGCTAGGTCGTCACCCGTAAGTGACGCGTCATCCCTCCGCCTGGGGGTGGTGTCAAATATGCAAGGGCGCGCTACACTTGATAGACCTGGGTGTGGTGATAAGAATGCTAAGGTTGCTAGGTCGCCGCCCAGAAGCGGCGCGTCATCCCATTGCCCGGGGATGATGTCAAATATGCAAGGGCATGGTGGGGTCCGAGATGGGGCTAAGAACAAAAGGTGGAATGCTAGATTGCGTTTTGGGACATGGAATGTTGGGTCTCTTACAGGGAAATCTTCCGAGGTAGTCGAGGTTATGAGCAGAAGGAATATCAGCATTATGTCTGTGCAAGAAACTAAATGGGTTGGACAG